TGTGCAACAAAGTCCTACACGAGAATGCTCAAAGCCACCTCCTTCACATTGACCGAGAGGCTGGAAATGACCCACAGAGGTGTCAACCCTAGCATGGGTCACTTTTAATTTATTCATACAATAGAGCCCAACACAGCAATGAAGACTAGTGGACTACAGCGCCTCCTAACAGCATGAATGATGTTCACAAAGGTCAAACGGAAGAAGCTGGGCAAAAAGAGAAAGCCATCCAACGTAGTTTAATGTATACATTATTTTTTATATGTGTCGTCAAGTCAGAACCAACCCATACCTTACCTTCCAGCCAGGTTTCAGAAGCAGTAAATCACACAGGAAGAGACTGCCCATCTTTCTCCCCCAGAACAGGTAGTGGATTTGAACTGTGTATCTTTGGGTTGGCAGCACAGTTCCTTACCATTGAGCCACATAAATAGAGTTCAAAAAAACAAGGCAAGTTAAAGAGTAGTACTTAATGGATGAGTGCTTGGGTGGCTAACAGAGGAGAACAAAGCAGAAGGTACCAGGCGCTGCCTTTGGAGGAAAAGAGAAAAAAGGTTAGACACTGGGAGGGTCCTGAGTTTGGCAGGGTGGTGGCCAAACACTGTGCTCAGTATTTTCCTTTCATATCCTTTTCTATGTCTGTGGATTAGAAGGTTGGAGAGAGGAAGGAAATTCCCCCACCCAGTTCCTCTCTGCGTCCTAACCTTGATCCACCTCCTTTCTCACCTCTGCATCTGTCCCTCAACAAACAAGCAACACTCACTGCCATCAAGTCAGAACCGATTCAAAGGCTGTAAATTGCTTCGGAGGAAAGTACCCATGTTTTTCCTAAGGAACAGCTGGTGGATTTGAACCACTTGCCTTTGGATTGGGAGCACAACTCCCTAGCCACTAGGCCCCTAGTGCTCCTTCAACAAGGCTGTGGAGGAAAGTTTTACCTAGCACATCAGTCCTGATGCAGCAGGGCCCTTCCTCTCCCCCAGTGTCTGACTTACTAAAGTCCATTATTAGACTTTCCAGTAGAATTTGATTATGAAAATTGGTGTAGAGCTGGGACTTTCTTCACTAATAGAGGTACCTCCCTCCAAACGCCATAAACTCTGGGAATGAGATTTGGGGCTTTTGTTTTTTTAAATCTCTCTTGTCATCAACGTAAACGAGTCCCTGGGGCAGAGTAGCTTAAGTATGAGGCAAGTTCAAACCTACCAGGAAGGAACCTCCTCCTATTACTATTTACAGCCTAGGAAATAAGTTTAAAGGTTTTTTTGGTTGCCTACTTGCTTTTCTTTTTTGTAGATGAAAAAAGTAAATTTCTTAACAGTCATGGATAACTGCACAAGCTTATTAATATTATTGTTCATTGTCTGTTCCCTGACCCAGGCATATACTTAGACTGTCACCTTGTTCATTGAATAATGTCTATACATAATATTTAATAACCCCATCAAAAACATTCATACTTACTGCTCTCAAGTCAGTTGACTCAGGGCAACCCTCTGTTGGTTTCTAAAGCTATAAATCTAAGGGGAGAAGACTGCCCGTCTTTCTCCCTCAGAGCTGCTTGTGGATTCGAAACACTGAAGACGTGGCCTTGGGGTTAGCAGCCCAACTTGCTATAGACTGCACCACCAGAGCTCCCTTGCACCCCGTCACCATGTCTATTTCTTAGGTCATTTGGGCGTTTTATTAAGTCCTGCCTGTTCTGTCTGCTGTGTTGTTTTGCTTCTCTGCTGCTGGAGTTTGGTTCACATTGCTAGTAAATTGGCCCCTTCTCAGGACAGACCAGCCCCTGCGGAAGGCTTGGTGTGGCATAGTAGGTCAGCAAATCAAGAGGAAGATCTGAAGATCGATCAGTGACTCCAACCAGTGGGCTCTCACAAATAGCAGTGACTGGGAGGTGGTTCTGGACTGGGCAGTACTCTGTCCCCATTGCCCCATCCCTGTCCGGACTCCTCTCCAACCTTTAGGGAGTGCAGGACTGGAGGCAGGTGTCTGTGTGTAGTGAGCGCATTCCGTCCATCCTTCTGTAAAACTGCTAGAAGCAGCAGTGACCAGTAACCTCCGGGTTTAAAGTCTCTACTAAAAAAAAAAAAGTCTGCATTCTAATATTCTAGAGGATTCTCGGAATATTCAGCTTTGCATTTTAATTGCAGATTGATCTTCAAAATCTTTGGTTTATTGTACATACCTGACTTTTCAAGATTTTATTTATTCTAGCCAGCTTTTCCAGAAGAAGGGGGGAGGAGGGGTGGTGTATTTATGTATGTGGTGGTGAGTGTGTAAGATTTGTAGATAATTTTTAAACATCTGCTTTTTATCTTGACTCAAAATAAAACCAAACTACTGCCTTTGAGTCAATTCCGAAGCAATGTGACTCTTAAATGTCCAAGGCTGGAGAAATTGTTTCCCAACAGCCTGCCCATTTTCCTGCCATCAAGCAGCTGGCGGGTTTGAACCACTGACCTTTAAGTTAACAGCCCAGTATATTATGCCATCAAGCAGCCAGTTACTTGGGAGACAAGGTTGTCTTTTATCTCTTGGAAAAGGCATCTCATCATCTATCGTTTGGATTATTGCAAACCTCTTAAAATTAAGAAAGCCATTAACATGAAATTCAGTTAGTGATTTCCTAGAATTTGTGATTTCCTAGAATTTTGCCTCAGAAATGTTCATGAAGCACTTTAAGATGAGCATCATCTCCTCCTACCCCCGAGTGACCCTGCGCCCAGCCGGGTGGACTTCACCCCCAGTCAGGACAGACTCCGCCAGGTCAATTGTTTGTCCTGACTTGCCCTGTTCCCTAGCGAGTACTTTGACTCCTTTACCTCACCATTAAGAGGTGCTTTTATCTTATGGAAATATTTACTGTATTACATCAGAGCCCCTAAATTGTTTGAAATAACCTTATCCCCCCGCAAAGTCAAATACTTTTAAATGTTAGTTGACCCTATATTCCCGCTTATTACATGAAGTCAGACTTTTTACTTCTGTTGTTTCTTATATGAACTTTTCCCCCTGTAAACTTTAGTTTGGAAGTGCCGAGTGTACAAGAAAAAATAAAAAAGTCCTTTTTTCCATTGGCAAGTCATATTTTGCTGTTTTCTGTCTCCACTTACCCACTCACTCGTTGCTGTTGGGTCAGAACCAGCTCATAACTGACTGTTCAGTGAGTTTTCAGAGGCTTTAAATTATAAGGGAGGAGATTGCCCGTCTTTCTTCTAAGAAGCAGCTGTTGGACTTGAACAGCCTGCCTTTGGGTTGGCAGCACAACTCCTTAACCTCTCACCAGAGCTCATACTTATTCTGTTAGTGGTTCACAAGTCTGGGTGCACAATAAAACTTTGTGGGAAGTGTTTAGCTGAGCCTGTTGCTCTTCAGTCAGGATGGTTCCAAGTTCTAAGAACCCTGTGTACACAGAACAGCACACAGCCGGGCCCTGCACCTCCTCCCAGTCGTTGCTGTGAGGCCACTGTTGCCGCCACCGTATCGATTGTGTTAGGATCCTCCTCTGTATTATCTGGCCCTCGACACCAGACCAAGCCTGTCCTCTGAGAACATGTCCCAGGGCCGTGAGAGGAAGTCTCGCCGTCCTTGCCTCTAAGGAGCATTCCGGCTGCACCCCTGAGACAGTCGTTTCCGCCTCTGACGGTCCATGGTGTGTTCTCTTCATCAACACCCTAACACAAAGGCCTTCGGGCTCTGTCGTCTTCTTTGCCCAGCTTTCCCGTACATTTGAGGGGATTGAAAATACCAGGACCTGGATCTAGTAGACCTTTGTTGTCAACGTGATGACGCTCAAGGGGCGGTCGGCAACACATGGACCCAGAGCACAGTTGGATTCCTTGCTTGCTGCCTGCATGGGTGTTGATTGTGGATCCAAGTCAGATCCTTGACAACAGCAGGCTGGTTTGGTTCTTAGCGGTCCGGTCGGTTGGGGGGATTTTTGTTTTTTCTCATTGTGTTGAGGTATGATCCGTAGTGAAGCTGAGGCTCGCCTCCCACACATTTCATGTAGTTGATCAGGAGTCGGGCCTGTACGTTGTGATTTTAAAAAACAAAGCCAAGACAACCTCTCCTGGTGATCTCAGTGAGCAGCGAGGCAGTGGAGCCATTGTTATGAACTACCTCAGAGGACGTCATGCTTGGGAGGGTGGAGGGATGGCGCAGGAGGGGAAGGCTCTCTATTCAGTGACTGGGATAATCGGGATGGGAGTGTCAGAGACAGTGCGATTGGCACAGGACAGCAGGGTTTAGGGCTGTTGTACATAGGGTCGCTATGAGTCGCAGGTGACTTGACGGCACATAACACCACCACCTCAGAGGAACTCTGGTAAGGAATTGTGCTGCCAACACAAAGGTACACAGTTTGAAACCCCCAGCTGCTCCTTGGGAGAAAGATGGACATTCAACTCGTGTGCAGTTTACTGCCTCCAAAAACCCACGGAGGATCAGCTGAGGGTGGAGCTCTGCGTTACACAACTACTCTTCCTTCAGAGCATCTCTGTCCTTCCACATTGACTTTAGAATATTATTCTCATAACAGTTTTTCTCATTTGATGGCATCTCCTCTCACCCCTAGTCAGTCCTCAGCTATGTGGATGAGGCTGCTAATTCTACAGATGATGGGAAATGATTTTTAGCCAGTGACTTTAAACTACCTCTTTTACCAAATCTACACATGTCCTCAGATCGACTGATCTGAATCCATTACTGTCACCAAGGGTTGCTGATTTTATTTTTACACCGTCGTCCAGATGGTAAGCTCCAGGGTATCACAATTCAACAAGTGTTTGTTGAGCCCTTATTCTAACGAAGGAGCTTCAAGTACAAGTAGCTGACAGTCTAACAGAGAAGGAGGAAAATCAGGGGGGCCTGGCTGTCCCGTCGTTGATGCACAGATCCCTGGGTCTGCCGCCAGTTCCATGAGCTAATGCAGGTATAGCAGGTGGGCACAGTTCCCGTCCCGCAAGTGGTTAAATGTCCCCTTTTGTCTCCTGCAGGTATCCAGACGATTGACTCTACCCAGGCCCTGTTCCTTCCAATCGGAGCATCTGTCTCTCTTCTAGTAATGTTCTTCTTCTTCGACTCAGTTCAAGTCGTTTTTACAATATGTACAGCAGGTAAGGAGTTTTTCTCTCTATTCTCAAGACACATAAAAGGAAATGTTTTTGCCTTTTTAAGTCACTCATAAAATAAGATCGTTACCCCAGGCCATACAGATCTTTTGCTCCCTCACCCCCCTTGCATCTTTGAACTATCTGAGAGTAGGGACCCTGAGACTCACCTGCTAGCGCAGTGTGACGGGAAGGCCCGGGACTGGAGAACAGGTGCAGTTTGTTGCACCAGAACAGGATGGCTTTGGCAGTAGCTCCCCCTCTAAAGGGGTGTTTGACAACCACTGCCAGTGTTTGTTATTAGGGAGCTCTGGTAGCCTACTGGTAAGAAGCTGTCCTGCAATCCTGAAGGCACATGGTTGGAATCCACTAGCTGTTTCTGAGAAACATGGACAGTGTCCTTCAATTTACGGCCTCTGAAAACCTGCTGGAGGGTCAGCAGTGGGTCGATTCTGACTTCAGTGACACACGTCACCACCACCACCTTGGTATAAGTGAGAGTAACCTGACTATTAACTCTCCCAGTCCTTGGAGAGGGACGTCATGCTTGGGAGGGTGGAGGAACAGCTCGAAAGAGGAAGACCCTCGATGAGATGGATTGATTCAGTCACTGGTGTGATAGAGCCAATGAAGTTGACTCAGGATAGAGCAGGGTTTAGGGCTGTTGTGTACATAGGGTTGCTATGAGTCGCAAACCACTCGATGGCACATAATAGAAACAAAGTGATGATGGTGATGATGTTAGGTGTCATCGAATCAGTAAAAATTCAACAGAACAAAACTTGTTAAGGGACCATTCCCTTTCTCTCCTCTCATTAAAACAGAAGATGAGAAAACCTACCAGTGTTCCCCATACTTAATTTTAAAAGTTCCCAATTTTGAACCATTTATCTCCTCACTGATTGAATGGTACTCATTTGTTGAGAGTAGTATATTGAGAGTGGATCAGTTCCTTGAGTAAGTCATGCTGGTCTTCCTGATAATTGGGGTTTGTTTTTTAAAAAAAAAATAACGCTCTGTTTTTCTTTTTTCTAGTCCTTGCAACAATAGCTTTTGCTTTTCTCCTCCTTCCGATGTGCCAGTATTTAACAAGACCCTGTTCGCCTCAGAACAAGTACGTACTTGGGCTTCTCCTCGGAACACTGAACCTGTGTGTGCGTCTGTCTCGTCCTTGATTGAATTATCAGGAGTCTCGGTTACAGATAACCAGAAGACTGGGGGACGGGGAAGAAAGACATTTCAGCTTTAAAACTGGAAGGTGGTATTTCTTTGTCCGTATGTCCATGGCACAGGAAGTGTGAGTCAATCTTAGGAAGTCGGATTCACTGTGCTATGAGCTTCCTGCTTTAGAGAGTTGAAAGAGGGTCGGTCATAGCTCGTAAGAAGCCTGTTTCCATCCGTTTACCAGTGAGTTGATGGAATGTGTGAATACTGATTGCACGTCTTTGTCTTCATTGACCTAGAATACACATTTCCTCATAGAGGTTGAATCCCAGTGTTCACCCCACAGCTCCTAGAGCCATTTCTCCATAGAAAAAAAGTTATGCAAATGAAGGCTTAGTGCAGGCAATCTGCCATTTGATTTTGCCCAGAACTAGTGAGGCCCAAATACAGATAGCTTTACCAACCTTGTAACTATGCATTCATCTTTGTTAAGTGAATGCAAATAGTGAATTCTTTTTGTTTTCCCCGTGGGAATAGACTTTCCCCTATACTTCACCAGAGTCTGACACGTCCCTCCAGAAGTCTCAGCACCCACGTTTGATCATCTGGGTGAAGGAGGACATTTATCACTTGAGTGCAGAAGTCTAGTTCCTCTTGAGTTTTCTGCAGCTGACTACCAAGAGCTTTGGGCATGTGGGGTGACCAGATATCTAGGCAGGGGTCACCTCCAGGTGTGCTGTGGGGTTGCCCTGAACTCTGCACACCTGGTGCCCCAGAAAAGTATGATGGCTGACTCCTCCTGCCGTCGGTCCAGTGAACGCTGTGTCTCTTCCAGGATTTCCTTTGGTTGCTGTGGGCGTTTCACTGCGGCCGAGTTACTGTCCTTCTCCCTGTCTGTCATGCTTGTCCTCATCTGGGTCCTCACTGGCCACTGGCTCCTCATGGATGGTGAGTAAACCCCTTGCCCACAAGTTGGGGTCTTGCGTCATTTCATCTCTTAAGCAGTCACGTGACTCGGCCCTCTGCTGCCCCCTTTCTGGGTCTTAGAGCATCACCTGACTGCCCTCAGCTTCGATACCCACAGGGCATCTCATGTCTGCCTTTTCCCCTTAGCATATGTTTAAAGAGCTCTGGTGGCCTCGTGGCTAAGCAGTGGCACTGCTAACCCAAAGGCTAAAAGTTCAAGTCCAGCTGCTCCTTGGGAGAAAGATGGCCCATCTCTTTCTGTTCAGTTACAGCCTCTGAAAAGGTGCACTGTGAGTTGGTTGCAGAAGGACAGCAATGAAGGGCTTTGGGGGTTTTTGTTTTTAAGGTGTTTTCTTGTCGTCTGATCCCTGGGCCCCCAGAGTGACCCCGACTTCCCGCCTCAAGGTCAGGAGTAGCTAAGGCACCCCGTTTGTAAGCACAGTGACATTAGCTCTTTGCCACCGATTTTACGTTTGTTGAGTGGTATTTAATACATAGTTTGTTTGAAGTAGTGTTTTTAGGTATTTTTAATGTTAAAGAAAGGAAAAAAATTAACTCAGAACCAAGGATATTGTACTTTTAGCCAGATTGGATAAATTTTTTTTTTAAAAACAAGTTTGTTTTTTTTTTTTTTTAATATTCCTTCTGTGAAACCAGAATCAGTACTGCATCAGCCCCTAAGGAATCAGCCAGTGTGTTTGATAGCAGTCTGAGAAAGAAATTTCACACATCAGGAGAACAAAAAACTTACACTGCACATTTTCAGCGTTGTAAATAATGTTACAGAACAAAATGGGTATCTGTGGTTGAATGAAAGACCAATATATTTCACATAATTTCACTCAAACCTCAGTAAAAAAATCCATTCCTGTTAAAGGAATTTTAAGGGGAGGGGGGACCCAACCTTCTACTCCTTTAAGAAGGCTGAGTTCCTCCTGAGTATCTCTGACCAGTCCAAGGATTTAGAATTTCTCTGTAATAAGTTAATTAGTAAAAGGCTTAAAAGTCCTGGACACAAGAACAAACTCGAGTGAATTGCAGACCCTGTAAAATGGTGTCTAGAAGGCGTATTTTACTTTCGTCAAAGGTGAAAGCAGTTTTGTAAACATGAAACATGCAGATGTACAAGGCACAGTTCTTGTTTTGGAAGTATTTGTTTTGCTCAGAATGCCAGTGACAGAGACTCTGCCCAGTGGTGGTCAGGTACTCGGAGTGGGGGGAGGATGTCAGTATGAAGAAACGAGATGCTGGATCGTTGGGGTGACAGAGCTGCTCCGTACTCCGATTGTGGTGGTGGCTCTACAAACCAGGGCGTGGAATTCACAGAAAATTGATGTGTGTCTGTTGTTAGCTGCCATTGGGTACCGCTTATAGCGACCCTGCGAACAACAGGTTCTAGTACCAAGCTCCTGAACCTTCTACTGAGCTACTGAAATTCAAAGACAGCTCCTTGAGGTCAAGTGACCTGTGTTGTTGTGTCCTGTTGACTAGGAACCGACCCATAACTGACCCTCCAGTGGGTTTTCCCTGGTAGTTAATCACATGGGAGGAGACTGCCAAGCCTTCTCTCACGAAGCAGCTGGTGGATTCAAACCACGTGCCTTCAGGATTGCAGCTCTTTTTACCACTGGGACACCAGAGCTCCCTATAGACCAGCCTCACTCTTACCAAGTCAGTTCTGACCCAGAGAGACCCTACAGGACAAGATAGAAGTACCCATAGGATTTCCAAGGCTGTAAGTCATTGTGGAGACAGACCACCTTATCTTTACCCTGGAGCTGCTGGTGGATTGGAACTACTGCTCCTTCTGTTAACAGCCCAGGGCTTTTGATGATTCAGAGTGAGAAGGTAAAGGCAGACCTCTGGCTGGTGATTTACCTTTGCTGGCTTCCAACAGCACTAGGTTGGTCCCTGCTTTATCAAAAACACTAGCCTCCCTTCCTGGAGGCACCCACTCTGTGTAAAAGCACAGCAGCCCAGGACTTGTGTTCAAGTGATGATCACAAGAGCTGAGTGTCTGAAATCAACCATGAGAGCTTCCACCATTCTTGCAGATTCGTGTTTAGTCTTCACTGCTCTTAGAGGTTGAGAAAATGGAATGGCAGTCAGGGTCCGACAGAAAGATGCTCACGTGGCTCGAGTGGAAGGACGGCTGCCCGTCTTGCATAGACTGACGTCGTCAGGAGTGATCAAGTGGCAGGTCTGCGTGTGAGATGGCTCTCAAGCTCAGCTCCATACCTGCAGTGAGGCGACTTGTTAAATAAAAGGGCAAGTGAGTAGAGTTGTGCATGGAGAGGTTTGGAAAAACTGGATGTGACATTAGTCCAAATCATTCTTCGCTCTTTTTAAACTGCCTGGATGACTCTTAACTACATACTCTTGAAAGAGCTTGATCTCTGATGGTACCCCAAAGCAGCACATTGTGAGCCCACCCATAAAATGATACATCTATAAGCAAGGCTGCTTAGGGTGGCCTAGTGGCAAAAAAGATGCCTGCAAACCTGAAGGCATGTGGTTCGAATCCACCAGCTGCTCTATAGGAGAAAGGTGGGCATTTTCCTCCTGTGCAATTAACTACCTCTGACAGCCCACCAGAGGGTCAGCTGTGGGTTGGTTCTGACTCGACGGGACACAGCTACATGCATAGGCTGCTCAGCTGCGTGGAGTCTCTGTGAACCTGTGTGCAGCCATGGGCCCCTGTAATCCCACCTTTCGGAGGCTCTCACCTTTTCTGGATCGCTTCATTCACGTGTGCGCACACACACGATACTATTTATATTTAGTACTAAGAGTGGCAAGCCCTTACTAAGCTGTTGACCTAAAGAAGATTATTTCTTTTAAACTCTCACCTCTCCCCAACTCTAGCGCCGCCTCGGACAGAGACGATGCCTCTTTACTGACAGTGTTTCACTGTCACAAGGAAAACAGGTTGTCACAATAGGAGAGTTGAAGTTAAGCTCATTCCCACAGCCAGCAGACACTTGGCCCACAACAAGTCCACAGAACTGCCTTTGTGATATTCCTCTGCGGCAGAGGTATTAGACTCGCTGCAGGAGGATGAATGGGAGAAGCAGTGCTGGAAACACTAAAGGGTCCGGGTTATTATAAACTCCTCTTTCTCTCCAAAGTCAGTCGAAAACTAGCCGTGGAGGGCGAACTTTATTTTCTGTGATCATTATCAGAAACACATGTCCATCCTGAAACGCCGTGAAGTTTCTTGGAGAGCATTCGGACATTCCACTAACTGATACTAACTAGGAGACTTTACAAAAGTTTCTGTCATTTTTCAGTTATTCCAATTTCCTAATATGTACTTAGGGAGCTCTGGTGGCCTAGTGGTAAGAATCTGCTCTGCAATCCCGAAGGCACATGGTTCGAATCCACCAACTGCTCTTCAAGAGAAGGATGGGCAATCTCTTCGTCCAATTACTGCCTCTGAAAACCCACCGGAGCGTCAGCTATGGGTCGGTTCCAACTTGATGGCACACACAACAGCTACAACTAATTACGTAACTAAGAAGCTCCTGTTCCTGCCAGTTATGCGCAGATTAAACTGCCTTGTGTCCAGTACAAAATCCCAGTCCTACCCCCTAGAACAAGTTCAGTGACTGGGGTAATCGGGATGGGTGTGTCAGAGGCAATGCGATTGGCACAGGATAGAGCAGGGTTTAGGGCTGTTGTACAGAGGGTCGCAAACTACTTGACGGCATATAACAACAACAAACCCCCTAGAAAAGTCTCTGAACTTTTCCATTTTTAGTTACTTATTCCTCAGCTTCATGTTTGCTGTGTGACTTGTTGACCGTCGTGATGACGTTTTCTGGCCCTGGTCTCTGTTAGGGGCTGGAGCACATGCTTTCCTAGCATGGGAACGTCCTCCAGACTTGGCTGCAGCCTCAGAAATCATTGTGGCAGTGAGAGTGGGTGGTCGGGGTTTTGTTAAAATGAGGGATTTTTAATTAAAGCCTGTCCTTTGACGTTAATCCAGAGGGCACAGCGTGGTTATTTTAGGGGCACGACGTGAAGTGTATTTTCAGGCGTGTGCTTAGTTTAGTAATAATGCTAAGAAGGGCCTTCAGGGCATTCTTGAACTGAAATCTCAGTCCAGTGTGTGTATTCTGATTGCGTCGCATCAGGCTAGCTAACCCTTTTGGGTTTGGAAAAAACTGCGAAGAATGAGTGTTGATGAAAAGCTGATAGAGCTTATTTCTTAATCACACACGTAGTATTGAAGGATCACAATTCACATCTTGAGCAACTAAACAGGTCTTAAGAAATCCAGCCTCTTGGTCTAATAGCTCACACCCTTCTCCCCGTCTTCCCTTAGGCCCGTCATTGCCATCAAGTAGGAACTGACTCATAGCTGACCCTGCATTGCGTTTCTGAGGCTTAAAATGACACAGGAGATTGCCCATCTTTGTCCCTCACGGTCACTGGTGGATTTGAACCGCCAGAGGGGCATAGCATTTGGGTTAGCAGTGCAGCTCCCTACAGACCACACCACCAGAGCAGTTGTCACTGGTGGACAGTTAGGAACTGTTGGGGGTGGGGGAGGAGTCTTGTGTTTCTCAGGCAACAAGGAACAAGTTCTCTGCTCTCTTCATTTTACCCTGGAAGAGGCCTGAGATTTTTAAAGAGTTACTAGAATGAAGGAAAAAGAGATAAACTAGATGAACATTTGAGATTGTGTTTTGGGGCTTTGGTCCTATTTAATTGGGAATTAAAGTGGTATTCAGCATGCATTGGGAACCTTTTTGTGAAGTAGAAAGAACTCTATCTATGGAATGTACAGTCTAATGGGTAGATTGAGCTGATAGAGTTGGAAGGAGTCTTGTTCAGTATCATTGAGAAGGAAATAAAGACTAGATTGTAGATTGAGGGAGCAGAAACAAAGGAGGGCCATCTCCGAGACAAAGCTCCTTCCTCTGAGCTGTACGACGTGAAGATGGCATTGAGGTGCCAGACTTGAATCATCAGAGAACAGGGAAGCCGTTGACCTTAATGTAGGAGACAGTAAGAGTACATGGTAAATTCTAGATAAAGAAAATCTCTAAAAATTAAAGGAAAAAGAACCAGAGACACTTCGGAGCACGGAGCGTGGGAAGGTCTGACTATCGCCTGCACTAGCAGTGAAGGCAACACCCTAAAATGCTCACATGGTGGGAAAAGGAGAAGTGGAAAATAAATGGAGTTTCCTGGTTGACTCTTAGAGAGAAGAGGTCATTTTCTTTGGGCTGTCATCAGTCCCCAGGCTCTGCCCATGCACTGTCTGCGGACCCCTTTCCTCAGACCAGCTGAGGTGCCACTGATTGAGTCACAGCCAGCCAGATGTGCAGGCTGTGATGATGCCAAAATCTCATCCTTTAGGAGGAGGACATGTGTTCATTGTGTCACAGGCCTTCCCCAGGTGGCATCATCCATGCAGCTGATGACGGCTGTAAGTCTGTGTCATTTAATCCCAGTCACTACTTTCCATTTTTTTAATGTTCCAAGTCTTTCTGCAACGTCAGGCTGAGCCTAATGAATCAATGCCGTTGGTGACTTTACTTTCAAACGACATGAATTTGTGTGTACAAGTTACCAGTGCAGTTCTGGTTGGGTGGTGGTTTAAATTTTTTAAAAATGTATGATCCTTTTACAAATTTAATGTCCTCCTTCCCTCCTAGTCTTGTGAATGGGGGTGCCCCAAAGCCATGTGAGCAACAAGCAAGATAGAAGCAAAGGAGAATAAAGAAAAGGAAGAACTCAAGGATGCTGTTAGTTAGTTAGTCCAAAAGGACAAGTGGCTCACATCAACCACAGCTTCCTCACCCCAGACCAGCTGCCGCCCCAACACAACTGAAGGGCCTGGCTAGAACGAGTTACAAAAAAAGAACACAACTCAAAACCCGGAAAACAAACAAGCAAAGCAGACATATTGAACAGAGAGACAATTGTCCTACCAAAACCATCTTGACCTAAAATGGAAGGGACTTCCAGAGGACACCTTCCAGCTAAATGATAGATGGGAATATAACCCAGTCACAGATGTTTAATGATACAAGGCTAGAAAGGCAGGATCTGCCTAAAACCAAAGATGAAGGACAGGAAATCCAGATGAATGGAAATGGGAAACCCGAGGAGAAAGTGGGTCAAGTGCTGGATTATTAGCAAGTTAGGGATGTTGGAGGGGCGTTGCAGCCAAAGTCCCAGAACAGTGTGTCTTAACTGTTACTGGGGAAACTCACTGGCATTGTAAATTTTCATCTCAAGCACAATGACATATTTAGAAGAAAAAATTATTTTACTTATGGAATCCAGACTTTCTGGAGCCAGAGGGTCTGGATAAGCCTCCGAAGCCACTGCTTTGAGATAAATCTTTAAACTGAAACCATCCCCTGAAATAATCTTTAAAGCCAAAAAGTAGGTTAATGGTAAAGAGTGCCTGCTTTAACAATAAAGAGTGTGCTCATTTTTAAGAGCTGTGTGTATGGAATCAGTAGTGTGCAACAGCAACGCCAAAGATTATATGGAACCTTAGGGGCCACTGAGTTCATGTCAGTTGAGGAAGAACGGCTCAGCAAAGGGGGGGGCGAGGTGAGAATGGTTGCACAGCCTGAAGAATGTAATTGAGAAAATTGTTGAATTGGTGCATATTCTGCTGTAAATTTTTTTGTCAAGACTATAAAGAGTGGAGGGCAAATGAAAAGGTGTCCAGTGTAATGTGGATCCTAGATTAGTACAAATGAAAAATGGCTCCATTGCCCAAAATTCTCCCTGTAGGACACCCTCTGTGCATGTTTGCAAACAGTGACGGACAGGTGCATGTGCCTCTGCGTGGCCCTTCTTCCTAATTACCAGTCTCACCAGCCTTCCTCTTACACAAGTGAAAATTACATTTTGTTTATGCAGAATACACATCATCATGTTGTTATGTGTTGTCGAATCACTTGTGACTCATAGCGACCCTATGTACAGCAGCCCTAAACCCTCCTCTATCCTGTGCCATTCTCACTGTCTCCAACACATCCCCATTACCCCAGTGACAGAATCACTCCATCTCATCGAGGGTCTTCCTTTCTTGCACTTTCCCTCCACCCTCGCAAGCATGATGTCCCTCTCCAAGGACTGACTGGTCCCTCCTTGCAACACGTCCAGAGTACGTCAGACGGAGCTTCAGAATCTTTGCCTCCAAGGAGCAACTCGGCTTCACCGTCTCCAGGACGAACTTGTTTGTTCTAGCAGTCCATGGTATACTCATTACTCTTCTCCAGCACCAAAGCTCAAAGGCATCAACTCTCCTTCCATCATCCCTAGTCATTGTCCAGCTCTCTGAAGCATAGCAAGTAATGGCAAAGATCATGGCCTGTATCAGACACATCCTAGTCTCCAGACTGACATCATTGCTCTTCAGTACATCATAGAAACTCCTTAAGTATTTGTCGAGCTGATGTGTCCAGGACTCCTTAATAAGCCCTTCATCCACTTTGTTTTATATAGTAGTGTTACATATACAGTTTACCACCCTTTCTATTAAAATTATGTGTAAGTATAATCCTTCTATTTACACATAATTACATTCTGTGTAAATGTAATCCTCATACAAAGTTATTCTAAGGGAAAACACTGAAGCATACAAATAAGAGTCATCTAAGTATAATCCCCAGGTTTATCCAGTTAAGTGTTTTCCTGTAAAATGATTAGTTAGTAGAACATAGGTTTTCATTCATTTATCAAGTGTACATTGCCGGCCTACTGGGGTGCTGGAGGTCGCAGAAAGCCCAACGTGGTTTCTACCCTCAAGAGCACTTGAGGAGTCAACTCACTTGTACCTAGTAATCACACCACTGTAGGACGGAGGGACGCATTGAGAGAGGTTTAGAGGTTTGTGGAATTACAAAGAAACAGCCCATATCCGTTAGACCAGCACATACTCCCTGGGAAAGGACTTTCGAGCCTGACTCAGAGATTGAAGATGAATTTTCCAGGTAGAGAATCCAGCGCTGCGCTTTCAGTGCAGGACATGAAAGGGCGCAGTAAGTGTTGAGAGGTGTGATACTCAAGTGGCTCCCGCAGGAAGTGCATGCTGAGAACAGGGCTGCACAGTGGAGCATGCCCTCCTGTGCCTGACCAGGGAGCCCGGCCCTCTGATCGCTGGGAGCCCCTGTGGAGAGAGGGAGGGAAGAGGGGGAGGATGTGTGTTGAGTATATGAGATGTTGCGAGGTACAAGAGAAAAAGAAATGATGACAGAAAGAATGTACAGTTTTAAATAAACTTGCAAGAAAGTCCATTTAAAAATTAATACTTAATTGAAGACCTAAACGAGATAAGGATGTGAGCCAGGTCCGTGTTTGTGACAGGATTGTCCAGGCAGGGGCCCAACATTGGGAACATGCCTGGAGGAGGGTCAGGGGAACTGCGAGCCCAGTGTGACCAGCGTGGGGAAATAGAGGAGATGGTCCCAAGGGTAGAAGGTTGCAAGCCCCTGCCAGCCACTCTTAAAGACTTGGCTTTTTCTCTGCAAAAAATGGAAAGGTGCTGAAGGGTTTTGAGCAGAGAATGGGTAGAACCTGACTTCAGTTTGAGGAACGTTCTGTCTGCTGTGTGTAGGATGCTGTGGGGGACAGGGTGGAGCCAGAGACCAGGTGTGAAATGCAGTCACCCAGGCAGTGGCCGTGGCAGCGAGCTGAGAGAGGAGAGAGATGTACCGTGACTGGACAGCTTGGAGACCAGAGGGAGTGCACTGAGGCGGGCGAGCACGGTGGGGACCTGTCGAGGGGACTCCTGAACGAACTACATTTGCGATGCCTCCACGGTGCACCTGATGCAGGACATGGGCTTTTCAATCCCTTGCTGTGCATCTGAGAGCTGGATAATGAATAAGGATGACAGAGGAGAAAGAGGAAGTGATGCCTCAGAGCTGTGGTGTTGGAGCAGGGTCCTGCATGTCCCATGGACCAAGAAAACAGATGTGTCTTGGGAAAAGTGCAGCCAGAGTGCTCCTTGGAGGCAAGGATGGTCGAGCTTTGTCTCACACACTTTGGACATGTCAGGAGAGGCTGTCACTCCTTGGGAGAGGGACGTCATGCTTGGAAGGGGCAGCGAACGAGGGGAAACCCTTCAGCGAGGTGGACTGACAGTGACTGCAGCAGTGGGCTCCAGCGTGTCAGAGGTGATGAGGAGGATGATGGCGCAGCACAGGTCAGAGTTCAGGTCTGCGCGTGGGGTCGCCATGAGTCATAGTCCGCTCGACAGCCTGGGTGGTGCAGAACGTGCCCCATCCCTGACGCCTGTCCGCTGTCCCCCCAGCCCTGGCCATGGGCCTCTGTGTCGCCATGATCGCCTTCGTCCGCCTGCCGAGCCTCAAGGTCTCCTGTCTGCTTCTCTCAGGGCTGCTCATCTATGACGTCTTCTGGGTAAGTGGGTGCTGCTTTGGGGCCCCCCGTCCTCGGTGCCGGGGGGGCATGCTCACCCCAGTACCGTCAGCCAGAGTGTCCCTAGCCTGTCCTGCAGGACTGCCCTCTGAGCCGTCTCCATCGCTGAGCAGAAAGAGGTGTGCTGGGATGACCACAGTAGCAGGCATGTGGCCATCACCCAGGAGCTAGCAGACCCAGTGACACGGTCAAGGCCACCAGTGGGGGTGGGACACGTTCCACAGTCGGCAGAGGCATTCTCCTGACACGTGCTGTCAGGGAGGCGTCGAGGTCCCCAGGCTGCTCTGAGCAAGGAGGGCTGGGACTGACAGCACCCCGCTCCCCACTCCCTCTCACCAAGGCCTCTCTCCGACCCGGCAGGTGTTTTTCTCAGCCTACATCTTCAACAGCAACGTCATGGTGAAGGTGGCCACGCAGCCGGCTGACAATCCCCTTGACGTGCTGTCCCGGAAACTCCACCTGGGGCCCAACGTGGGGCGCGATGTCCCCCGCCTGTCGCTGCCTGGCAAGCTGGTCTTCCCCAGGTAGGATGGTGTCCCTCAGCGTGTGAAGGGGGCACACTGCCCACTGGGCCCAGCTGTCCCCGCCTTGACTTCCCTGCATGTGGTCATCATCTGACAGATGAGCAGTAGGACATGGACTTGACTTGCAGAGATTATCATTGGCTGATCCTGCAAGCAGGTGTATATTCAGTGCCAATTAAGGCTTCCCTCCCTCTTTTCATTGTAGTTTCAGGGGGAGATTACAGAGCAAATTTGTTTTCACATGACAGTTTACACACATTCTGTTGTGTGAACTTAGTTGCAGTAAAACAGGCCTCTTCCCACTGCCTCCCTGGCTTTCCTGTTTCTGTTTGTCCTTCCTGGCCCCGGCCGCTTCTCAGCACCATTTGTGGCACATGCTGTGTCCACTGGATGCGTGTGGCTAGTTGTACTGTGGTCGGGGAGTGTTCTTCCCTCGTGTTCCTGGTCACTTTATGGACTTCTCTGTCGTTTCAACTCAAAGTCGATGCCCTGGGCTCTGATCCAGGCATGACGGGGGTTAGAGGGCCATCCACAGTCTCGGGGTCCCACTGTCTCTATCAGACCAGGAAGCCTGGTCTTTTCTATAATTTTGACTTTTGTTCTGGTGTTATATTGGTGGTAACCAGATCCTTCTGGGCTCAGGCATGGAGGCTGGGGGCTCACAGGGTCCCTCACTCCTTTAGACTCGATTGTTTCCTTGAATCTTTGAGCTGGATGGGGAGAAACACAGGCTTTCAGGACCCGGGTCCCTTAACGCACAGAGCGTGGTCTTCATGAACGCTGAGCTGGTTGACGTTGACGTCCCTGCAGCACGTTTGGTGGTAAGCAGGTGGTAGAGCTTCGCCCGTAGGCTCAGCAGTGTCCTTGGGCGCACTTGAGCAGGTGCAGGTGCTTACACAGAAGGAGCCTTTGGCAAACCTGTGCCCACCCTTGGCACATCGCTTTCCAATTTTCCCGTAGCTGCTGTATTTGCAGGGTTGTGCATCTGCCAGGACCTGCCCTGTTGCCTTTGACCCTGGGTGCGACCTGCCCTGTTGCCTTTGACCCTGGGTGCCGCCCCCTCCCTTCACGCAGGTTGATTCAGGCCCCTTTCATCCCCGGTCACCATCAGAGGATGCTTCAGCCGCTTTCTAGAGGCGGGAACTGGCCGGAGACTCCTGCTTTTGTAAAATGAGTGTTCACGTCCTGGCCGGGCCTGCACGCTGCTTGCTCTCTTCTGCCGCCTGGTGGTCATTCAGTGTCCTGCAGCGAGGGCGGCACAGGGTCCCAAGCTGTCCCTGCCAGGAACGCTGCCTTGGGGCCAGGGTCAGGGCACCACGGCCAGCGCCCCAGTGACTTTCCATCTCTAAAATTATTAAAAGATGCCAGTGCTGGGCCAGTAGCGTGTCCATCTACCTTTCACATCAGTTGTCTGAATTTTGGAAAGCTGGCCTTGGCTCGAAGCTCTTGGCGTCCTTACCGTGTGACCCCGTTCCAGCTCCACAGGCAGCCACTTCTCCATGCTGGGCATCGGGGACATCGTGATGCCCGGTCTCCTGCTGTGCTTTGTCCTCCGTTACGACAACTACAAAAAACAAGCCAGCGGTGACTCCTGTGGGGCCTCGGGCCCCGCCAACATCTCGGGGCGTATGCAGAAGGTCTCCTACTTCCACTGCACCCTCATCGGGTACTTCGTAGGTAAGAGGCCGCCCGCGGCCACACTCGGTCCCCTCCAGCTGTCCTCAGCACCTTGGATCTCAGCCCACACAGTGATTGGGGCCAGTTAGCGACAGCGTTGAGTGTAATGAATGTCGTGTTTATTTCCTGCTCTGTGGACAAATATTTGCCTTCATTGGCTCTGATATTTCTGTGACTTCTCACCTAGAACTCCCACTCTTTATAGCCTGCTTCCTCGTAGGCAGACAGGATCAAGCCAGTGCCCCGTGGTCACCCAGCAGTTGGGTGGATGGCGCCCCACCCAGGCACTGACGACAGAGCCTGTGGAAGGACAGTCTGCACTTTCAGACACGTGACTTTGTTCTGGTCCAGAAACTCAAGGGAGCAACTGCTTGTGTCCCATTAGACAGATGCAGAAACTGAGGCTCAGGCGAAATGCCTGAACCAGGGTCATGTAGCCTTTGTCATGTAAGAGGCACAGTTGGAACTTGAACCCAGTTCGTTGGCCTCCAGGTTCAGCGCAGGTAACTCAGGAGACAGGCAGAGCGCACTCGGAGGTGCACATCAGGTGAGGATCTGAACCAAAAACCTACTTGGCCAGTCGCTGATTGGTGGAGGTCAGGGTTTGTTAGAAGCTGTGCTAGTCCACATTCCTTTAAAAATGGCATGTGCAGCAGTAAGTCCATGGAATCGTAAGACTCTTCCAGAGGCAGCCAGGCAGCCATTCCCTTCCCCGGCTGCCCCCTTGAGTGACCGCTGTGTCTCCCTCAGGTCTGCTAACAGCTACCGTGGCGTCTCGCATTCACCGAGCAGCTCAGCCCGCACTCCTCTACCTGGTGCCATTTACCTTACTGCCGCTCCTCACGATGGCCTATTTAAAGGTGAGGCGACATGGGGGAGCATTGGTGGGAGTTCTCCCTGCTGCTGCTGGGTCTGCATAAGCCCCTGAGCCCTCGACCTCGACAGCCCGTATCTCCTTTCTAACCTGCTGTTGGCGGCCTTTCCAGATTCTCAGTCACTGACAGAAAATAGACCACTGTCCCGCCTCCTGTCATAGATTATGTACCATCAGGTCCGAACCCATCATAGCTGACCCGTCAGTGTGTTTTCAGAGGGATATCACACAGAAGGAGACTGCCCGCTTTTCCCTGAGGAGCAGCTAGTGGATTAGAACTGTGTGTCTTTGGTTTGGCAGCACAACTCCTTACCACCAAGCCACCAGAGCTCCCTGGTCACAGATGAACTAACTGAAAATCCAGAGAGATTTCCTGTTTTTCAGAGCAGCACCTAACAGAGCCAGCTAACAGGGTTTTAATTCTTTGCATTGAAATTAAGACTTGAAAGTGGTAAGGTGGTGTGTGATAAAAACTAGATCAATAAAAACCAGACCTAGAGAGTCACTGCCTTCTTCACAAGGTTTGATAGCATTTCTGTTTTACACGTGAGGCACAAGAGGCTAATTAATGTCCCCTGGCTCCTGTGTCGTTTGGTACAATTACCGTTTGTGGATACTTTCCTCTTAAGGATGACCAGCCCACACACACTGCTGTCACACAGATTCTAATTCAGATCTCGTAGGGGTGGCCCCTGGGCCCCCAAGGCGGCAGATCTCTCTGGAAGCTGACCACCTCATCTTTTCTCCCGCCATGGAGTTGGAATCAGCTCACAGCTTGACCCTTTCTGTAGGGGGTTTCAGAGATTGTTCCCATCTTTGTCCCACAGAGCAGCTGCTAGATTCGAACCTCTTGCCTGGGGGTTGGCAGCCCAACTCCTCACCCACTAGGCCACCAGGGCTCCCTGCAGTAAGGATGGACTTGGTAAAAGCTCTTCCTTGCTCAAGGATCCTAAGATGAACTCTTCTAGTAAGTTCTAAGAACAGTAGGCTAATCTTGGAGGCAGACAGGCCTCTCTCGGTGCCTCCACGTGGGGGACGGGTGCGCAGGGCTGTGTCTCCCGCTGAAATGCCTGTTCGTTCTTCCCGCAGGGTGACCTCCGGCGGATGTGGTCTGAGCCATTCCACTCCAAGTCCAGCAGCTCCCGGTTCCTGGAAGTATGATGGCGCACAGCGGCGTGACCAGAGTGGCCGCCTCGGGCCTGCCTGCTCTCGGGGGTGGCGTTCCGTCTTCGAGCTGGCCTGGCGCCCCAAGGTGTACCTGTTTAAGGAACCGACGTGTGACTGGATTTTGCAAATTTCCGGGGCTTGTCTGAAGGAGAGGGGCTCGAGCCCCACTTGGCGCCTTCCCAGCCCACGGCCATGGTGAGAGAGCCCCTTCCCGACGGGACAGGCCCCCCAGCACTCCTTCCCCGTTTTTATGGATCTGCACCAGACTGTTACCCCGGGAGGAGATGGAGACCTGACTGTTTATGAACTGAAAACAGCACGGAGTCGTTCCGAAACTTTTGAACACTAAACAGATTGAAAACGCAAACAAGCAACCCAACGTTTCTTCTGTGAACCCCCAAGACCTCGGGGACCAGTTTCCTCCAGGGGCTTCGGTTTCAGCGAACTAAAGACAGAAGCTCCTTCTGTCGTTCTCTTCTTCCCTCCCCCCTTTTTTGGATTTATTAAATATTTTCTGTGGTGTGAAGTGACTTCTTAAATCCACAGACATGGAGGGACTGCGTCCAGCCCACACACGGCTGTGGCCACCTGGGGCCTGTGGGCAGCGCTCGGGCTCGGTTTTTACACCCCCTCCCCTCGCGCACCTCGACCTCCACGAAGACCCCGCAGCGCCGGGGCCTTGCTGTAAGAGTCGCATGTCGCACTTCACGCCGGCTTCCGTGTCCCCGCGCCATCGCACCGCACCCGCCGTCACCCGCGCGACGCACGGACTTGAGGGGACTCGTGCTCGGTTCCGAGCAGTGTAGCAAATAAGGGATGAAAACACCCCACGTGTCGCCCCTTCTGTTCCCCGTTTCCGTTCTCCCGGCTCCTCCTCACAGGGTTTCCGTAGTTTCTCCGAACGATGCATGTCAGATAGCAGCTGGTCCCCTCGTGCTTTCAAATCCCAGTAATGTACTACTTGTAAATACATTTTTCTACTTTCTATTTTTTTTTTTTTTTAATTTCTCTTTCTCCCCTCCCCGGCGTTTTGTTTCATTGGTGTGCCGTAATTCTCCACCCCTCACTCCTTGACGAAGGAGAGGCAGTGCCATCACGTCCTCGGTGCAGCGACCGTGGGCCTGGGCCGCCCGTGACCACGGGGGTCAGAGGAGCTGGGCCCCCAGCTCAGGACTCGAGGGCGTCCCGGCCCTTGCACGCCTGGCCACACGCTGGGGTCCGCCCTGCAGTGGCCAGCACGCAGCCGCTCCAGGATGAGGGGGGACTCAGAGGAGCTGGGGGCCGCCTGGTGACGGGCTGGAGAAGTGACCCGTGTCCTTGGCCGGCGTCCCTGCGGGTGACCCTGGACGTGGCAGGCACTCTCTCGTCAATGGAACGTGACGCGATGTGGACGATCCATTTCTCTGTTGTCTTCAAATCCTGCTGAGGGCTTTTGTTTTGTTTTCGTTTTGTTTTTTAATAAATGACTCCTTTCTAACCTTTGTCACATGATCTTCCGTTTGGGGTGCCCCCAGGCTGCTTGCTCTGCCTCTGAGAAATCAGAGACCCTGACCAAAGGAACATCGTCTGCCATCGTCCCTTCTGTGCGGGTTTCGGGGCAACGCCCACCGGGGACTCGGAGAAGTAACCTGGCTGCGTCCTCCACGGGCAGCTCTGGTGGCGTGGTCTGTAGGGAGCTGAGACGCCAGCCCAGAGCTGGTTCGAATCCCCCAGCAGCTCCACTGGAGAGAGGTGTGCAGGCGTCTTCTGTGCCATTTACAGCCTCAGAGACCGTGGGAGGGTCAGATCTGACTCCACAGCCATGAGAGATATTTATCAAAATCTTTACATTTTGGCAACAGAACTGCCAATATTTCTCCCCTCATTTAACCACTGTGGGAACCACTGGATCCGCCCGCACCTCCTGGCCTCTCAGATACTGAAGGTTTGGGGGTCCTTATCAGGACATGTTCCCAAAGGCCCGCCCTTCCTCTCGCCGCAGACACTGTCCCCTGAAGAGGCCTGAGGGCTGCACTCAGACTCCATCATTTGTAAATTCTGTGTGTGGGACTCTGTCAGCAGTTAGCCCTTTGTGGGACGTGCTGTCCGGTCAGTGTCTCCTAGCGACCTGTGAACAGACCTGACCGCCTCTCCCTGTCCTCACATCCACAGTCGTCCTCAGGCCCCTATGGTCATCACTGTGGCAGTCCACCTTGTCGAGCGTCTTTGTCTGTTTCTCTTAAGAGCCTAGCGTGACCCGCGGTGGTGATTACAGCGTCTCCTTTTTCCTCAGCATGACCAGTGCCCAGCCCCCTGGAGGGGGGACGTAAGTGGCCGGGCAGCAGGCCCTGTGTCACCTCTGTGGCATCTCGCCCGGGCCTTCGTGAAACAGGTTAGTTACAGGTTCTCGGTAAAGCAGAACCAGCTAGTTCTCTGTGCAAGTGGTGGGGGAACGAGTTCTGGTTTGGCTGTTAAGATGTTAAAAATAGACTGTGCAGTGCAGCACTCACGTGGCAGCTTAACCAGAACCGATGTTGTGTGTGGACAAAACACTGTTTTGTAAAAGCCTCTTGTTCACGTCAGAGCCTCGAAATGTCACAGTCCTGTGAGGGTGCAGAAGGAGCATCCACAGAGGGCAGGAGAGTAGACCCCCAGTTCTCCCAGTCTCCCCCAACTCCTGAGCCTCCTGGTCTGGCCGACCCCACCACCTTCCTTCATCACATCAGTAAAATCATTTCAGGAACAAGGCCTCCCTCTCACAGGTGTCAACCTGGCTACCCAGATTTTCCTTTAAATGCTGAAAATGTCCTGATTGAAATGCTGAACCCTAATTCTCCTCTCCGGAAGGGAAGCCAGGTAAGAATTGGGTTTTTTTCCCAGTCTAGAAATTATTCCCACCTCAAACAGATAGCATTTCTGGGAAAATGTGCAGCCAGAACGCGCCTGGGAGGCAGAGATGAGGAGGCTTGGTCTCGCATACCTGGGGCACGTTGCTAGGAGAGGTAATTCCTTGGAGAGGGACGTCATGCTTGGGCAGGTGGGGGGCAGCCAAGGAGAGGAAGAGCCTCAGCCAGGTGGACTGAGTGACTGCAGCAGTGGGCGTGAGGGTGTTGGAGGTTGTGGTGATGGCACAGGGTAGCACAGGGTTCGGATCTGTCCACAGGGTCACTGAGTCCGTGGCATCAACGTCGCCTTCCACAGGCTGCCTTCCGCCCGCAGGGCTCTCTTCATCAGAATGGCCCCTAGGTGGCGCTCGACTGCTAACCTGGAAATGGGCGATTCTAACTCGCCCAAGATACCTTGGAAGAAAGACCTGGTTACCTGCCTCTGCCAAGTTCACGGCCAAGAAAACCTCAGGGAGCAGCTCAGCGCCAGCTCACAACAGCTGTTTGCAGTTGTGGTGCCGGCCTCTCACATCCGTGGGGCGTCCTGCAGAGCAGTACTCTCTCCACACCTCGTTTTGACCTGTATAAACTAGAATTGCTTCCCCTTCTGCCTTCCTCTTGGAATTGACAGCACTTCCTCACCATGGAAGGTGATTCGGTCCTGTCCCAGAGCCCAGATTGAGCAGTCATGGCGGGGGGAGGTGGACAATGACCCCAAGCACCCTGGTCCCCACGGCTCGAGATGCTGGGGTGGGGGGTAGCAGGTGTCCCACCCAGGAGGGAATGCAGCACCACGCTTGCTGGGGATCACAGTGGCCTGAGCTGAGGACCTTCTCACAGGACCTGCCTGTGAATGGAAGACTGAAAGGCCAGGTTCTGAATGCCCTTTTCTGTGCGGCCAAATTGACTCAGGGGACCCTTGGTTCTCCAGATGAAGCCAGGTAAGCACTGAGCCAGAGAAGTGACCGCTGAAAGCCAAAGTGCAGAGGACGTGAAAATATACTTCCCTAATGAAGACATTCAGATGGTCAACAAACCCGTGCAGAAATACACAAGATCACTAGTTATTCATTGTTACGTGTCATCAAGTTGGAGGTGACCCTCCAGTAAGCCTTCAGGGCCTGAGAGATTGCCCATCCTTCTCCCAAGAAGCAGCTGATGGATTCAACCCAGTGTCTCTGAGTTGGCAGTCCAACTCCTTACCCACCAGGCCACGAGAAACGCAAACCAATGAGAAACCATCTCACTAGGAAAAATCCAATTGTTAAGTAAGATGTCAAAGAGCAGATGCAGGTGAGGATGGGGAGAGACTGGGACGTTCACGCGCTGCTGGTGGGAATGTGAAAGGGGCTACCAGTAGGGAAAGCATTCAGACTCTGCTGGGAAAGGAATAGAAACCCGCCTGACCCCATAATCCCACCATTAGGTAGATCCAGAGAAGGGAGAGCTTCAACTGATACACCCACACCCATGTAAAGTGCAGCATGATTTACAACATCAAAGAGTTCAAAACAACCCCAATGTCCATCAACTGATGAATGACTGAAGAAACTATGGTCTGTTTCTTCAGTGGAGTATTGCTGTTAAGTGCTGTCAAGTCGTAGGTTACTCATAGCGACCCTATGAACAAAAGTCAACACTTGTGTGACTTTTAACTTTTGTCCAGGTTCATAGGGTTTTCAGAGGCAAGCTATTTCAGAAGTGGATGCCACTCCTGCTTCCAGTGGAATATTATTGTTATGTGCCATTGAGTCACAGCCCTAAACTCTGCTCTGTCCTGATCCAATCGCACTCTCTGACACTCCCATCCCAATTATCCCAGTCACTGAATCAGTCCACCTCATAGAGGGCCTTCCCCTTCTGCGCTGTCCCTCCACCCTCCCAAGCATGATGTCCTTCTCCAAGGACCAGTCTCTCCTCACAACATGTCCAAAGTATGTTAGACGGAGCCTCAGAATCCTTGCCTCCAAGGAGCCACCTGGTTTAACTCTTTGCAGGATGAATCTGTTTGTTTTCCTAGCAGTCCATGGTATTCTCAATACTCTTCTCCAGCACCACAGCTCAAAGGCATTAATTTTCCTTCTATCCTCCCTGGTCACTGTCCAACTCTCTGATGCATAACAAGTGATTGCGAAGACCATGGCCTGTATCAGACGCACCTTAGTCTCCAGAGAGACACCATTGCTCTTCAGTACTTTGGAGAGGTCCCTAACAGCAGACTTTCCCATGGCAATGCGCCTTTTAATTTCCTGGCTACTGGTGCCAAGAGTGTTGACTAGGTACCACTAAATATCAAGAATCTGTGAAGCACTGCACAACATAAATGAAATTAAAACAAATTATGTTGAGTGGCATCATTCAGTCACCAAAGGACATTTATAAGACCATTAATATTAAAAGCTGAGGAACATTTACACCGAACCAAAATTGGCTAGTAAGCCAGAATTAAGAACAGAGGGAGAGGGGAGCAGAAATTAGAAAGTTTGGTGATGGGAAAGGCAATACAAAGGTTTGATAAGGCATTGTAATTACATTGTTATTATGTGCTATTGAGTCACCTGCCACTCATTGCGACCCTATGTACAACAGCCTAAACCCTGCTCTATCCTGTGCCAATCGCACTGCCTCCAACATGCCTACCGCATTACTGAATTACCTCCATTACACCTACCCCCAGTCACTGAGTCAATCCACCTCATAGAGGGTCTTCCCC